GTTCGCTGGCGCTATGCTAGGCTCGCTTGAATTCTGCACCACCGGAAGACTCGGCTACTCTTCTTGGAGACGTGGTGGCAATCTTTGAATGGATTCTTCTGTAACATTTCGAGAAGCTTTGCAATTTGAGTCTGTTGAAGAGCTGTTTGATTTACCTTTCACAGCAGAATTGTTTTTCTTGATGTGCTCAGGGTAACATCCAGGCTTCCACACTCCCTTGACACCCCTCATCCCAGCCCCCCTTCTCCATTGGGATCCTTGGACTTGGTCCTCAGTGAGTCTGCACACATTTAATTTTTACTTTATAAAACTCGCCCGACTAAAGCAGTTTATCTTTTCAGCTAGAGATCCATCATCATGCCGAACTTCAACCCTGTAGAATCAGTGTGAGATCTACTCTGCCTGCAAATGTCTGATTACTGTCAAATTAAATTAGATGGCTCCCTTTGCTGATCATTGACTGCCTTTTCCTTAATTTCCCGTTCAGTGCTTCCCATTTTAGTTGTTACAGATGACGCTGATTAAACATTCCATTTTCAGTATTATCAAGGCAGAGTTGATAAGTGTAGGGGGGTGGATTGAAAAGCCCAGGGATGCGGGTGTGTGTGGAAGTGGAGAGGGGCATTGATGAGGCACCTTACGGGCTCAGGGTGTTCACTGAGGGGCTCTCAGAAGCCATAGAATGTGGGAACCAAGATACCAAATGACAGCAGGGCATGCCTGGTATGCTAGCTTCCTGGGGCCGCTGTAACAAAGTATTTCAAAGCTGGGGGCTTAAAACAACAGAAACTTTTTCTCTCACAGTTCTGGAGACCAGAAGTCCAAAATCAATTTCATTGGACCAAAAAAGCAAGGTGTGGACAGGGCCGTGCTCCCCTCCATGAGTCTGGTGGCTGTGGCGTTCCTTGGCTTGTGGGCCATCAATGCCATCCCCCTCCTTCATGCAGACTTCTCCTATGTGCATTCGCGGGAACTCCCCTCCCACACCTCCTATTGTATAAGGATGCTTGTGCTGACATTTGGGGCCCACTCCGATGGTCCAGGTAAATGAGAAGGACTCATCTCAGAGTCCTTCACTTTTTCCAAATAAGGCCACGTTCGCATGTTTTAGGAATTGGGATTTAAAGTCTTTGGGTGGCCGTTATATAATCTACTATAGGCAATTAAGAGCGAAATAAGTTATCCTAATAATCATTGTATGCTCTGTTGAAAAAGGCAGATCGTGTTACCGTGGGGCTTTCAGACTATTGTTTATTCATAGTACTTTTAAGAATTTCATTGCCAAAGGGTGTAATTTTTAAAACATTGCAACACAGACTCAAGCAAAGACAGAATCTGATTGTACTTTTCAGCATCCCCTTTCTCTCCACCTCCACAAGACAGGGGCTATATACATGTATGTCTGTGTATATACATGCACACACATGCATGTATATGGGGTTGTCTGTATATGTATGTGTGTGCAAGTGCATGTATGTATACATATGTGTTTGTGCTTGTGTGTATACTTTTTTCTTTATTTTTTGGTCACGAATGAGCACAGTTATTAAAGCTTTCAGACTAGTATTTAGTTGTTGGGGCCAAACTACAGCCTGAGTATAACTTTAACTTCTATGGGAAGACAGCATCAGCGTCACGTTAATCTGGGCTAGAGCAGGCCCCCAGCATATCTGGCTTTATTAGTTGGTTGTCCCTCTTAGTTATATCTTTGGATTAAAGACCTGAAACCCTACCCCCACCATTAAAATGGGTGGAGGCATAGACTTCCAGTTATAAGATAAATAAGTCTTGGGCTGTAACATATGGCTGGTGACTATAGTTAACAATACTGCATTGTATATCTACATGTTGCTGACAGAGAACATCTTAAAAGTTTATATCACAGGGGCGCCTAGGTGGTTCAGTCGGTTGAACCTCTGACTTCGGCTCAGATCGTGATCTCATGGTTGAGAGTTTGTGAGTTCAAGCCCCGCATCAGGCTCTCTGCTGTCAGCATGGAGTCTGCTTTGGATCCTCTGTCCTTCCCTTTATCTGCCCCTCCCCCACTTGCTCTCACTCTCAAAAATAAATAAATGCTAAAAAAAAAAAAAGTTCATATCACACACACACACACACACAAGCTCACAAGTTGTAACTATGTGTAGGGATGGACGTTCACTAAATTTTTCATAGTAATCATTTTGCGGTATATATACCACATCAAATCAGTATACGTTGTTAATACTACTGTTATGTTATATGTCAATTTAAAAAATTTACTAAAAAATAAGTGACACTCTGGCTCTCCAGAAGGAATAATAGATTAAGCGACTTACAACTATTTTTGTTTTTGTGGTTAAAAATAAAAAAGGGTTTAGTGATCTGCTCCGGCTGGTCCCCAGCTGTTTATGTGGTGCTATGTGTGATGGGGAGGAATGTGGTCCCTGCTCCGAGGGCCGCATGCTTTGAATGGGACCTCGGATGGTGGCCGTGTGGAGAGCTGGAGGACCCTCTGGGAGGGAGGTGGGATTTGAGTTAGTGGCTCAAGGACTGGGGTGTTCGTTTGGGTGACCTTCATGCAAGCTGGGTGACCCAGTGTTTGTTCGGGAGAGTGAGGAGACTGGCCCCCGGGGCCATCCCTGATGCTCTTTTATTTATTAAAAATATTTTTTAATGCTTATTTATTTTTGAGAAAGAGATTGAGAGACAGACAGAGCGTGAGTGGCAAGGGCAGAGAGAGAGACAGACAGACAGAATCAAAATCTGTAGCAGGCTCCAGGCTATGAGCTGTCAGCACAGAGCCCAACGCAGGGCTCGAAATCATGAACCATGAAATCGTGACCTGAGCTGAAGTCTGACACCTAACTGACTGAGCCACCAGGCGCCCCTGATGCTATTTTAGATAAGGTTTTTCTCCTGGTTCAGGGAAATAGCATTTTGTTAGGGTTCTTGTGGACAGTTAGGGAATAACCTTTGCTTGCAGCATCTGACAAGATGGAGACGCTTGAGTGCTGGGCCAGGGAGTGTGCACCTCGCCTTGCAGGCAGCAGTGAGCCCCAGAGGGCGTTAAGCAAGAAATCAGAGTTCCAGACTGAGAGGCGGAGCCTAGAGTGACCTTAGGGGGCTGGGAAAAGAGGTAGGACATTGATGTCATAGTCCAGGTGACTGGTAGCCAGATTTTCAGTTAGTTTTTTTCTTTAATGTTTATTTGTTTGTTTTGTTTGGGGAGGGGGGTGTGAGAGAGCGGGACCGAGCAGGGGAGGGGCGGAGAGGGAGAGGGAGAGAATCTCAAGCAGGCTCCACGCTGTCAGTGCAGAGCCCCACATGGGTTTCAGTCCCTCAAACAGTGAGATCGTGACCTGGGATGAAATCAAGAGTTGGACGCTTAATCAGCTGAGCCACCCAGGTGCCCCTCATTTAGTTTTTTTTTTTTTTTTAAGTTTTTTTAATGTTTTATTTTATTTCTAGGGGAGAGAGAGAGACAGCGTGAGCAGGGGAGGGTCAGAGAGAGAGGGAGTCACAGACTCTGAAACAGGTTCCAGGCTCTGAGCTGGCAGTCAGCACAGAGCCCGATGCGGGGCTTGAACCCACGAACCGCGAGATCATAACCTAAGCGAAAGTCAGACGCTCAACCGACTAAGCCACCCAGGTGCCCCAACCCCTCATTTAGTTTTAATCACAGACCTGTGTCAAGAAAGCAATGTTTGAGCAACTCACTGTAAATATTATCAATCATTTATTTATTTATAAGTTTATTATTTTGAGAGAGCGAGCAAGCACAGGGGAGGGGGCAGAGAGAAGGGGCGAGAGAATCCCAAGCAGGCCTCTCATCGTCAGCACAGAGCCGGATGTGGGGTTCCATCCCCCTCAAACCATGAGATCATGACCTGAGCCAAAAGCGAGAGTCAGATGCTTATCCTACTGAGCCACCCAGGCGCCCCTTAGTCATTAATTTTTTTTTATCTGTATCAAAACTCAGTCCTAATATTGGGTATATCATAAAAGTTACAAAATATCACAAAACAGGAAATAAGTAGAAATGGAAGACCCACTCTTCTTCATCCTGTGCCCGTGGCTCGAGAGCCTTGCCTCGCAATGTCCCTTGGGCTCTTTGAGTCACAGAGATGGTCCGTCTGGGGGCTGGGAGGCCGAGTCCTAAATGAGCCTAAACGAGCAGTGGCGTGGGAACAGAGAGGAAGGACAGGTGAGGAGGTGTCCGCAGAAGGAAGGGACATGACGTCAGCGGCTGGCCTCCTAGCGAGAGGAGTGAGGACCCAAGACGGCAAAACCGGTGGTGTGTTTTTAGGGCCCGGTGAGCTGGTGAGCAGAGAGGTGAAAGCCGCCAAAGGGGAGGAGTGCAGACTTGGCCTGGAAAGACCGGCTGCACCCCCTTCTCCCCTTCCCTGCCTTTGTGCGAGGCTGGAGGGTCTGTGCATGTGACATGTTGCTTGCGGGGGCAGGTGTCCGGTGGGTAGTTGGGATACAGTTGTGGAGCATTAACCGGCTGGACCCTGATGTAGGCGCCAAGGGCTGCCGAGTGCCCTAAGTCACAGGGGAGAGAGGAGGACGCTCTCTTGTGGCGGGAGGAAGGAGAGGGCATTGCACCCCTCACCGAGAGCCCAAGGTGAAGACAGGTTGGACTCGGTCACAAGCGGAGGCCCAGGGGAACCCCGCCCCCGGAGGGATGCCGGCTCAGCCTGACAGGGAACCAGTAGAGGCCCTTGGCTGGACTGGAACTTGGCATTTCATGCCGTGGCAAACCAAGTTTGACATTGACTCTTCACAGAGCCTTCCAGATGACCGTTCAAGTTGCCTAAGTGAATTTCACTCTCCTCCTTAATAATCGGATCTGGTTCCTGATGTTACACTTTTTTTCCCCCCCTTGATGCTATTTTAAATGAGGGGATTTTCTCCTGGTACAGAGAAGGAGCTGTGTACTTGCCCAGGGTTCTTGCGAGTGGTCAGGGAATAACCTTTGCTCGCAATGTCTGCCAACAGCCGTGTTCTCGGTGTCTCCGCAGGTGGCCATAAAGGTCATTGACAAGAAGAGAGCCAAAAAGGACACTTATGTCACCAAAAACCTTCGGCGAGAGGGGCAGATTCAGCAGATGATCCGCCACCCCAACATCACCCAGCTCCTCGATATCTTGGAGACGGAAAATAGCTACTACCTGGTCATGGAGCTGTGTCCTGGGGGCAACCTGATGCACAAGATCTATGAGAAGAAGCGGCTGGAGGAGTCAGAGGCCCGCAGATACATCCGGCAGCTCATCTCTGCAGTGGAGCACCTGCACCGGGCCGGGGTGGTCCACAGGTAAGGGCCGCGCCGCTCTGGTGGTCACCGATGCTGTGCTGAAGGGACGGCACCGCGCCTCAGTGCACTCTGAGCGAGGCCGGACTGTTGCCGCGCGCTTTACAATTTCTCTACATTTCTGTGTTGTGGAATTATCTTGTGAGCCGGCTCAGTGCCATCGTGGGGTGAAAAGAGTGACATCTGAAGCCAGAGTGCCAGGGTTTGCCTCCTGGCTCTATACCCTTTTGTAGTTGTGCGACCCTGGGCAAGTTACTGAGCCACTCTGAACTTCGGTCTCTTCTTCTGTAGAATGGGAATGGGAATGATCCTTATCTCATCATGGTTGTTGTAAGGGTTAATCTATAGAATGCAAGGAGTTAATCTACGAAAGGTGCTTAGATCGGGGCTTGGGATGCACATGTAAGTGTTGGCTTCTCTTCCTGTTTGCAAAGTATAATGGTACCAGTTGCTCAGGAGTGTGAAAGAAGAGTCAATGTTAAGATGGCATGAGATTGTTTTTCAGCTGGTGCAACGGATGATGCTCTCGTTGTATTTGCTTTTCCTATGGTGGTTTTGAATCACCATTTATTTTATTTCATTTTTTATTATTTTTGAGAGAGAGACAGAGCACGAGCAGGGAGAGGCAGAGAGAGAGGGAGACACAGAATCCATAGCAAGCTCCAGGCTCTGAGCTGTCAGCACAGAGCCCGACCTGGGGCTCGAACTCATGAACTGCGAGATCATGACCTGAGCTGGAGTCAGATGCTCAACCGACTGAGCCACCCAGGCGCCCCTCGAATCACTGTTTAAATTGTGAATTTGCTCTTGAAAGTGAGGGGTGTTTCCCATAGGCCAGACCAACCTTGCAAATGATTATGAAAATCAAACTTTTCTTTAACAGTCTGTTCCCTCCCAAGGAGGGGCTCCACAAAGAAACGTGAGTGGAAATAGCATTCTTAGCAAGGGTGCCATTGGGGGTGGGGGCCTATTTTTAGCGCTATATTAAAATAAAATGAAAAAAAAAATTTAAAAGTGCCCTTTCTTACCCCCAAGGAAATGTTGACTTCAGCAATAAATTCTTACATCTTCCTTCTTGAAAGTATACTCTGCTGAATTGCCTTCTCTGGACATTTCACATGAAAGGAGACAGTCTGTGGTCTTATATGACTCGCTTCTTTGACGTAGCATAATGTTTCCAAGACTCATCCCTGGTGTGCCAGCTATCGGTATTTCATTCCTTTTCATGGCCCAATCCTAGTCTGTTGTAGGGATAGATCACGTTCTGTGTGTCCATTCATCAGCGGATGGACATTTGGGCTGTTTCCACCTTTTGGCTGTTACAAACGTTCATGTGCAAGTTAGAGCACAAGCAAGGTAGAGCAAGTTAGAGGTGTTTTCACTTCTGGAGAATTCTGCTTGTAGCAGAGGGACTGCTAGGTCATTTGTTAAGTCTATATTTGACCTTTTGCGTAGACACACACACATACATTTTTTTAAGTTTACTTATGTATTTTGAGGAAAGAGAGAGAGTCTGTGAGCATGCACAAGCAGGAGAAGGGCAGAGAGAAGGAGGGAGAGAGAGGAAACCCCAGGCAGACTCCACACTGTCAGCACAGAGCCCGACAGGGGGCTCAGACTCATGAACCGTGAGATCATGTCCTGAGCTGAGAGAGATGGAGACTCAGACGCTTAACCGGCGGAGCCAGCCGGGTGCCCCCCGTAGACACATATTTCTAAAAATTCAGCTTCTAATGGTGTGTTTTATGTGTTTGAAAGCCATTCAAATTCTGATCAGTGAAAAAAAGCAGCCCTAAGCCTTTAATTAATGGAACTTGAGGGCTTTCAAGGTGAAGAAGGCCTTTCCTTACTAATGGGATGGGATGCTGTACCCCGAGGTACTTCCGCCTACGGACGCGGCAAGGGAGGCCCCCTGGCTCAGAGCTGTGCCAGGGCCTTGGCCAGGCACCACTTGGGCTCTCGTTTCCTCCCTGAGGTGAGCATGTCTCCGTGTGCATGTTTTTAGTCACACGTGTGGTCATGAAATCACACGTCATTAGAATTCTGAGTATTGGGGCTCCTGGGTGGCTCAGTCGGTTAAGCAGCCAACTTCAGCTCAGGTCATGATCTCACGGTTCATGGGTTCGAGCCCCATGTTGGGCTCTGTGCTGACAGCTCAGAGCCTGGAGCCTGCTTCAGATTCTGTGTCTCCCTCTCTCTCTGACCCTCTCCTGCTCATGCTGTCTCTCTCTCTCTCTCTCTCTCTCTCTCTCAGAAATAAATAAAACATTAAAAAAATTTTTAAAGAAAAAAAGAACTCTATTGAGTTTCGATCAGCAGGGAAGGGAACATTCAGAAATTTTAAGGGAACCACACCATTTGCGGCTCTTTCCAGCAATCCCGTGTCGCAGCTCTGCCACTGTAGGAGAATGATGCTCAGGAGTGTGCCTGGTTCTGTCTTTGTTTGTTAGGCTGACAAAGGCAGAGACCCCACGAACAAATCAGCTCGGGTTACTGACTCTGCCGGTCACAGCGGAAAATAGAACTGGGGACTGAGCATTCTGCAGGCCTCGGGGTGTTAGGACAATCGCCCAGCTTGCCCAGCTCGGCAGGGTCCTCAGGACAGCAAAGGGGAAATCAAGGGGATGCTCGCCCGCCTCTCCCACGGAAAATTCCCCACAACCCTTTCCAAGTCATTTTCACAAATTCCAATCCCTCTCGGCACAATTACCGTCAGGATGTCAGAGGAATGAATTTAATCGTGTTTTGATAGCCAAGACGGCGCGCTCCCCTTCCTCTGATCTCTGGCGTCCTTCTTTCTTTGTCCATGGAAAGTTGTTCGTAAGCCCACGGTGGCAGAGGCTCGGATCTTTCGAAGTTAGGGAAGATTGGAAACAGAAGCGGTGTTGGGAAGGGGTCTCTGTTTTTCTCTCTAGCAATCATGTTACTGAGGGCCAGTGTGCACAGATGTAGGTGGTGGAGACATCACAGGCACGTGTTTGCTCAGGAGAAACTCCGGGGCTGACTTTAGCCGAATGTCTTGACTTTCCCCATTTCTATACCGCTAACAGCACACGTGACCCAGCTCGCCGCTGGCATCGTCGGTACCATAGTCCTTCCCCATGGTGGCAGGTTGTCTCCTGTATGCTGCAAAGAAGAAATGAATTTCTTCTTCTTTTTTTCTTTCTTTTTTTAATCGACCAGATTTTTTTTTATTGACCACATTTTATTATTTTTTTAAAAATATAATTTATTGTCAAGTTAGCTAACATACAGCATAGCCAGTGCGCTCTTGGTTTTGGGAGTAGATTTCCGTGACTCGTCACTTATGTACAACACCCAGTGCTCGTCCCCAAAAGGGCCCTCCTCAGTGTCCATCCCCCATTTTCCCCTCTTCCCTGTCCCCCCGCCATCAACCCTCAGTTTGTTGCCTCCCTCTCGGTTTGAAACTGTTATTTCATAAATTATTTTGAAGTTAGATTTTTCTTTTTTTTTTTTTAGTCTTTATTTTGAGTGACAGAGACAGAGAGCGAGCAGGGGAGGGTCAGAAAGAGAGGGAGACACAGAATCCAAAGCAGGCTCCAGGCTCTGAGCTGTGAGCACAGAGCCTGATGCGGGGCTCGAACTCACAAACCGTGAGATCATGACCTGAGCTGAAGTCGGACGCTCAACCGACTGAGCCACCCAGGTGCCCCTGAAGTTAGATTTTTCAAATGAGTAAGAGAGTATGGTATTTCAGAGATGCCCAGGGAGTCCCTCATGGGAAGATTTCTGAGCAAATGGGCTGAATCATCCCCCAAAAGATTCTGGTGGCTGCGCATCTACGGTGGTTTAAAGGGCTTTTGGCTCGTGTGTTAGAGGACTCTCTAACTTCACAGTTCCTGATTAGCCCGATACTATATCCTTGTATTCTCATCATCTTAACGCTTTGCAGAGCCCTCGTTTCCTGTGGTATGAAATCTAAATATTTAATTATCTACTTATAACTACTGAAATATCCCTTACAGGAAGGAAATCTTTAAACATCACGTAAATATTGTAAGCAGAAAAGAGAAAAGGAAACTAAAGCTCTACATAGCAAAATTCCCTTAGCTGGCAGGGAAATCCATTTTAAACTGGACTTGCAGGCATTTTTGTCTTTTGCTATAGTAGGGCTGTGGCTAATATTTACGAAACTGGAGTATGGTCTGATTTCTTCATCAGTCCGTGTTAGCATTGCCTGAGATACTCCACGCTTAAAATATGATGATTTTTTTTTCCCCTTTCTCTCAAACATGCTCACCCAGCACGATGCCAGCACCTGATGGTTTCCCTATTGTATACTGAGCGTTGACTCTTAACATCAGTCCACGAAAAGTGTGATTCCACTGACAGGCTAATTTGAGATTCATCTGTTCATTCAAAATAACAAAGTCCAATCAAACTGTGCAGACAAAACATCACAGGGTAACACAATACCCCCATCCCAGAGCAGGAAGCGACGAGCCAAGGGCCCCCGCAGGACTGGGACAGAGTGACACATGATCAAAGGGAGTGCAAGCCTGAGTTTGGATGCTCGTCGGCACTGCCGCTCCCAGGGCCATGACCTGACTTGTTCGTCAATATCAGGAACGGGCCCTCTCTGCTCAAAGGAATGCGGTGGAAGAGAAGGGACACTTCTTTGTTCTCTCGGGCCTGACAAGAAGCAGGCACACCACGAATTGGTGGGGTATTAAGTTCTTTAACTTTTCGGGTTTTCTTGGAGGGGGAGGGCGGCCACGGTGGACGAGGAGGGTGATGTCTGCTCACATTCAGGCACTGTGTGGGATCCCAGGGCCTTCTGCTGAGAGACCGCACACATCTGGAGGCGCTGGTTACATTTAGCAAAGGTTTTGTGTTTAGCTGGGTCTAAAAAATCTGATGGAAAACACGAGATTTCACGAAGCTCTAACGCAGCAACTTTATGGAGCGGGGTGTACGGTGGTCAGTGGTGTTGATTCTGAAGCCTGACCGGCTGCATCCACATGCCGGCTCTGCCGCTTAAA